GTCAGTGGTGAGTGGGCTCACGGGGTGCAGACCCAGGTGGCTCTGGGGACAAGAAGAGGCGCTGAGGTGGGAGACCCTCCCATGGGAGGACCAGGGGCAGGGCTGCAGCTGAGCAGATTCCAGGTCCACCTTCCTCCTTCCCCAGGCTGTGGTGAAGACCCTGATGGACAGCCACGGGCCCAGAGGGGCTCCCAGGTTGCCATGACCATCCGGGTCATTGATGGCCAGAGTAGGGATTGGATCAGGGCCCAGGGTGTGGGAGGGCGCGGCAGCTGACCCTCACTGGTAGAGGAAAGTGTCCCCAAGTGTCCCGGATCGCCCCCAGGGCCAATATCTGAGGGCACCACCCCTGCCTGGCCAGGTGGGGTCTCCCTCTTGGGTGGATGGGAGGAGGCAGAGAAGGTGGACTGAAACTCCAGAGCCGGGGACTCTGGGGTCTCCAGCGTCCTCCCGCGGTCACTTACCCTAGTCGTGCTCGGGAACACAGGTGTCTGCAGAAACCAAGGAAAACTCAGTGGGGAGGAGGCGCCAGGATGGGCGCAGGCCCCCTCACACCCACAGCTGCAGCCCTCCATGACCAAGACCCAAGCAGGGCCCTGGTGTCCCTGAGGGGCGCGGGACATGGGGAGACATTGGGGTCACGGAAGGACAGAGAGACACAAGGGTACAAAGACATGGAAGACTTAGGGTGGCACAAGGAACACAGAGGGGACGTTGTGGGGGACAAAGGCAGCCGACCCCTCACCCGTCTGCTCAGGTGTGAAGATGGTCTCAGCCAACAGTCCCTTACGCTGCGAGAATTTCCTAAATTCTTCCAGGGCCTCCAGGTTCTCCTCGGGGCTCCTCCCTGGAGAGAGGGGACCAGGTGAGCTGAGGGGGGCTGGCTGCACATGCTTTGGGGACAGGGCCACCAACTGGCATCCAGAGCTTTGCCCTGGAGTGAGCAGGCCTGCAGTGTCAGGCCCCTGAGCTGGAAGCACCCCATGTCACAGAGTCACAGGGCTGTCCCCTGACTCTGGAGGAACCCTGTCCCATGAAGGTGTTTGCCAGGACCCTCCCCCTATAGGCTGACCTGTCCTGATGCCCAAACACTGGGAAGTGGCACTTGGCAGCCCGAGTGGCTGGAGCCCCCTCCTGAGTGGTCAGGACTCTGAGGGCCATGTCTGTCCCTGTGCCTGACAGTCCCCCCGAAGCCGACCCCTTCCCACTTCAGAGCTCATCTCTGCCTGGGCAGCTCACAGTGCCTGGCACACAGAGGCCAGCCCAAGGCTCTAGTGCCCGGTGCCAGGGAGTGGCTGCTGGTTCCTTGGCTTTTGGGAGTGGGGACCATGGGGCAGAAGACGGGGGTCTCCGAGGAACCCTCACCCATGAGCTTGCCCATGCGGAACTTCTTCCCTGGGTCCTGGCTTTCACAGTAGAAGATGCAGTGGTCGCTCTCGGGCAGCTCTTCTATGTACACGAGCTTCTTGCCGTGGTCTGTGGCTGGACGGAGAGGGCAGCTCTTCAGTGTCTTCATTGTTAAAAACAAAACCCTGGAGGAGCCTCTGCTTTCCCCTGTCCCCCAGGGGCCACTGCCACCCCAGCCAGGGAAGGGGCCACCCAGCTGTGGAGTCCAGGTGCCAGAGGCTGGAGGACGTGGAGGCTGGAGCTTGGCCCTGGCCCCGGGCAGCTGCCCTGCCCTGTCCAGGACTCCAGTCCTCGGTTTCCCCGAAGGTCGAGAGCTAGGACCTCTCAGAGGGAGCGACTGCCCAGTCAGTCCCTGCTGGGGACAGCGTGGGACACCTGGTGTCTGGGGTCAGAGCCACAAGGCCCTGGGAAGCAGAGGCCGCCCTGCTGGGAGGTGGACAGGACCCTCCCACCCCAGGAGCTTCCCCTGCAGGGGGCTCCAGGCTCAGCCCCGGGGACTCACAGGCGCTGTATCTGCCAGGCTCCTGGGTTTTCTGCAGAGTAACTTTCTTCTCTAGGCACCGCCCCTGAATCCTGGAAGCAGGAGCACACGGGCAGCTGCTCTCAGGACAGGCACCCGAGCCAAGCTCAGCTCACCTGGTGGGCCAGCCCTCACGTGGTGACACTGAAAATCCCACTCGACCCGCCTGAGCCTTGGGAAGCTTCCTGGACTGTGTCCCCTCATAGCAGGGGATTTATTTCTGATGACACTCAAATGTGGATGGGTGATGGGAAGTGAAAGGGAATCGAGGGTCCTGCAGGGGCAGCACTCACAGGAGGGTGGTCTTGGCCTCCCAGCTCCCATCTTCCAGGGCTGTCACGGTCACGGGGAACACCTTCCCGGGCCCCTTCCAGTCTGGTACCAGGGGCATGTTGACCACAAAGGCCTTTGTGTACCAGGTCCCTGTGATCTGGAGAAGGTCAAGGCGTGAGTCACCTTGGCCCCGCCCAGATTCTCCCATCACTCCCTGGCACAGGGACCTGCAGCCCAGGGGACTCCCAGAGCCCAGGCTGAGCCCCCCGAGACGGCCTCCCCCATGCCTGCTCCCTGCCCTCAGTAGAGCAGGCCCCACACTCAGGTCTCTTGGACCCCACGGAGGTGGAGGGTTCGGCCCCCAAGGATCTGTTCATTTCAGGGACTGGGCCTGGAATGGATGAGTGTCACTCCAGAGGGCCCTGTCCCTAGAGGAATTCAGGTTCCAGTGTCACTTCCACAGGACCCTGACCTGAACCTCCTCCCTGCGCCAGCCCTGTCCCCAGGAAGGGCCCTGTCTAGGGACAGCAGAGGGAATGCCATCTCTGACCCTCAAGGGCAGGAGTGCAGGGTCAGCTGGCCTTAAGTGACCCCGGAAGCAGGGCTCCCAGCTGCTGCCCGCTGACCAGGGCTCAGGGCATTTCTCCCACCCGCCCACTGGCCCACCCAGCCTCACATTCAGCTCCTCCCAGGGGAAGGTCAGGAGGTCCTGGGCCTGCAGGGCA